ATACAAACTTTACTGGAAGCTTTCACTGAGCAATCTATTGTTAGAAATACAAACATGTATTTTTTTTATGTTCGCGGTACATCTTAACTGTTTATATGTAGCTCTCCCTAATATACTAAAATGGAGCTGTTTTAACTTACCTTCTATCCCTTGCCGCAGTCACCTTTTTTTCCCCTGCCTGAGATAGTCATTACTGATAATCTCAGCCAATCTAATGTTTCATCTTAGAGAATCAAATATGTCAGTATATCTGTGTGGGAGATGTTGAGTGTCTTAATGCTCAACGCGAAGAGACCAAAAATCAGTCCTGCAAAGATATCTGAACCATAATTGGAAAAAACCCTAGTGGATGTTTACGTTATAGCCACTAGAGTTGTCCTTCGGGTCAAATGCAGTATTTGCATTTCTCAGACTGCAAGAACAGGCTATTAACACCAAAACCACTACAATAAGTTGTAGTAGTTCTGGTGTTTAGGGTGTCCCTTTCATGAAGAAGCAATGATTTAGGATTCAATATAGAAATTACTTTTCGGGTATAGTAGTATTCTTTCATGGACCTTACCAATTTTTCATAGTTTGCACCACTTATTTTAATTGGCATTTAAACATTATTGTTTTGATCTGTTTCTAGAAGCTGCCATCCGAAAACAAACCCCAAAAGATATTTATAGCTTGTTTGTTTCAACCTTGACCTTCATGAGCAAGTAATGACATGAAACTGAATATTTGGATGAAAGAAATATTCATTGTGGGATCTATCCTGGACCACAGGGGAACTTGCAAATACGCATCATTTTTGACAGCATAGGTAAGAGAATAATTTTTTTATTTTTTATACATGTGTACTTTAAGGACGATGTACATGTGTTGCTACAGATTACATGCCTAATCTTGGACCTCATCCTGCAGGGATTATTTTAATCTGGATGTCTCTGCTATTTCTAAAAGATTTGGACACCTTCAAGGCACTTGAAATTTGCTCCAAACCATGCATAGTACAGGCACAATGTTTTGGTCACATATGGGTTATTAAAAAGATGGTAGTATTGACCTTTTGTACTGTGACATGAAGGATATTCAGGGATAATCTAGAAATGGAAAGATTTACATTGCTTTTTCAAAAATCTGCAATTCGAAGCTTAGAGACACTATAGGTACTCAGACCACTCTTTTATTGAAGTGGTCTGGGTTCAGTGTCCTTGTCTCCCTTAGTCCTGCAATGTTAATCATTGTAGTTTTAGAGATCAGACCAGAAGGCACTATAGTGTTAGGAATGCAGATTTGTATTCTTGACACTATAGAATCCCTTTAAATTTCTATGAATGTAACCCAGCGGGCTTCATTTTCCACAAAGGGCACATCATTTCACTTATCTGCCATTGGCTAAAGCCGCTACTCCACTTGTCAAGTATTAATTAATACCTTTGTTTCAACTCTTATGCATGTTCACTAGAATATCTTTCACTGCTTCCTTACATAGAGCAACTGTTTGGTAGTTCAGCATTCAGCATCTAATATACATATAATATTGTAATCTCCTGATTTCCATGCATCTCTACGGGGAGCGTTCAGCGCCTCCATGCAGAGCGTGGAGACCCTGAACATCACTGCTGCACACTGTGCAGCACTGACCCTGGAAGCGCTTCTGGTGGCCATCTGAGTGACTGCCACTGGAAGTGTCTCTAGGCAGTAATGTAAACACTGGGTTTTCTCTGAAAAGACAGCAATGACATTAAAAAGCCTGCAGGGACTGATTCTACTCACCAGATCAACTACACCAAGCTGTAGTGGTTCTGGTGAGTATAGCTTCCCTTTAAGACTGAAGGATCCTGTGGAAGATGTAGATATGAACCCACACATGCCTGGGTTATTTTGGATGGTAACACTGTTAAGTGTAAGCATTTACTTTGTACCTGGTTTGGGTTTTTGTTACATGTTTAATGTTCAAGCAGACATGGCTGTGTGCATCTGGGTATGTTTTGCAGTGAATTTGGATTAATTTGGCACTTTTGTGCTGTGTAGGATTTGTAATCCCACATGCTTCTTCATGCCCACACTCTCCCCACAGTTTGAACATTAAGGCAAAGGATTGAAGAAGTAGGCTTAAGTGGGATAGGCAGAGCTTGGAAGTGTTAAACCGCTATGTGATATTAAGGCAATGCTGGAAAGAGTGTAAAGAAAGATATTAAGCATTGCATGTACACTTCAGGTGTATATATAAATCTGAACATACTGTAAATATGCCATCAGTGACTGGGCAGTAAAATGTAAGAAGATATCAGTCAATGAACCATGCAATATCTTTAGACAAAAAGCTATATTTCCTGAATAGTCATATGGAGAGAGTACAAGATTGCCATACATCAAAGAGGAACCATAACGTCCCTGGATATTTAGTATTCTCTTTATATACAACCTGTTAATAATACAATTAAATGTAGAAATCCACTACACTTTATTTACTTCTCTCTAGAACTGAGCGCCTGTACCTTGGCTTCCAGTTAGACAATTCCAAAGGACAACGCTTCTAATGACTATCAGTGTAGAGAGCTAGAGAAACAAACATCGTTTGTACCCTGACTATGCCAGAACTACACTTGTAATTGTTTTATTAATCGCTGAATCTTTAATATACAATTAAAAGAAAATGGAACATTAAATTGCGAATTAAACGATTGATACAAATTCTAAGTGAATTTCAAACACATTCTTATTTTTTTTTTTTCCCTTGTTTAAGGTTGTACCATAAAGAATGGCAAAATCAAGATCCAGATCACCCAGGTGGAAGCACAGGTAAACAGATTTTAATGTAATCTTCGTTAACCTTAGTTGCGTTAATTATGTTTTTCCAATAAACCATGTCAGCTTGAAAGCTTGAATTGTGCATTCAGTTCTTGCTCTGGTATTATTTACTTTGAGAATAGTCTGCCTTGGACCAAATGATTCACCTAACAACAACAACAACTGGCCATTGTGAAATTAATTCATTGAACCAGGGGTTATCCACTCCATCTTAATGTGGTGATGATCCATTGTCTGACATATTCTGGAATATTGCATCACCCCAGCTAGAGAGGTAGAACCAATTTGTTGAAGCTTTGTAGACTCCTGTTCTTTCCTACTTCTGACACCGGAAATCCCAGGCTGATCTCAGATCCTCTGTAAGTCTGTTTACATTGCACTGAGATCACACACACTCACTCCATCTGAAGTACTTGCTCAGCCTTTCCTAAGGCATCTGCTTTGGATGAGATCCTTTTGACCATGCATCTGGTCCACATTGCTTTAAAGTGCATTAAATTGTGTTCCAGTATTAACAAAGCCTGGAAGAAGAAGTTGGCCTTCTTAATGCGTTCCACACTGTTAAAGCACCCAAAGAAGCGAGTGTCATGGCAAAGGTACATAATTAATTGGTGCACTATAGAATATTGCTATTAAATGTAACTTGTGTAGTGCATACACAAATTGTCCACTTGGTAGAGGAGAGATGCCAGAGAGGGTTAATGTAAATTATATAGGAATGTGATAGAGGTCAGATGGTTTACAACATGAATTGCTCTTTTGGTCAACCAAGGCTTGTGAAAGGTTGCCCCTCCGTTGCCTGTATGACAAAGTGGCATATAGCTCTTAATAGATAGTGGATTTCCTTGATATGTTTTTATTTTTAATTTTTTTATTTATCTTGTGCAAAGAGTAACATTCATGCTTGTTGTGCCACAACGACATTGACAAGCATATTATTATCTAACATTTTAGCTACAGTGGTATGGCATATGAGAGTTGCACTTTTTAAATATTTTTAAACCGCCTGAGCTATATATAAACCAACCAGAAATATTTGGGATACGGCTGAGAAATCTAAAATTGAAAAATATAGATATACATAGTGTAAATCTGTATCAAATAGTAAGTAAGTATTCATGAAATGCACTCACAAGATTAGATGAAATATATCGCTCTATGGTGCCTCCCCCGATAGTAGTGGGGGGCTATTATCCTCCTTCAGTTGCTCCAGGAAAATAGATGAAAAAACAGGACTCCCAGGGTTGTGAGAAAAATAAATGAAGCGGCTTTATTAAGGATGAAACATCACCCAACAATGAATATATAATATAAGCTTAAAATGAGGTCCTACGCGTTTCGTTCACAATGTGGAACTTCCTCAGGGACCAAAAGTTAAAATCAAATGTTATACAACAATAATAAAACATAAAATGCAGCCTAATCCCACCCACCCACCAGTCCTGTTTTATAGGGCTAACCCCTGAGTTAATTGATGGTAATCTGGGCGTCCTTCTCTGTTTCATCCTTCATTGGTGAAATGATTAATCACATCCAGCTGAATTCTTCATGTTTTGATTGCAGTCAAAAAATCCTGCATTTCATATCAGCCGAAAACCGGAACCGGAAGTGAACACATACTTCCGCGTTCCATTCAATCGTGCGTTTCAACAGGGAAGATCGAGATGTAAAATATTTATAACATAGCCATCTAGTGGTCGCCAGGGGAATAGTCCCAAATAATAGATATTGGAAACAGTCATATATCTAATAAGACAAAGCAAAATAATATCGGCAGCAACATGGAGAAATATAAAGCATGAATTTATCCTATTAAGATCTTCAATAAATATTTGATATAGATCTAATTACAAAGAAGTGCAAATATAATCCTAAATTAGTGAAAGTAAATAATATAAAATATTAAAGTGATATACTGAATTTTTTTCCTTCCTTTTTTTTTTTTTTTTCTCATTGAAAAAAATATACATAAGGGATTATGGCATAAAAACTTGTTTGATACAACTCTATATCTCTGTATAATTCCCAAAAGATAGAAGGGGAATATAAAGAAGAGAAAAAAAAAAAAGGAGAAAAAGAAGACAAAAATTTCAATATATTACAACATGGAGGTGTAGAAACAGACCAGAAACCCAATATGATTTATGTAAAGCAGGCCAAATCGATGTCTACATTTAATCCCATTGGTTCTAGTGTTTTTAGTTGGTGAATCCAAAAGGTTTCTCTCTGGGATAGATTAAATCTATCTAAATCTAAATCTATCCCAGAGAGAAACCTTTTGGATTCACCAACTAAAAACACTAGAACCAATGGGATTAAATGTAGACATCGATTTGGCCTGCTTTACATAAATCATATTGGGTTTCTGGTCTGTTTCTACACCTCCATGTTGTAATATATTGAAATTTTTGTCTTCTTTTTCTCCTTTTTTTTTTTTCTCTTCTTTATATTCCCCTTCTATCTTTTGGGAATTATACAGAGATATAGAGTTGTATCAAACAAGTTTTTATGCCATAATCCCTTATGTATATTTTTTTCAATGAGAAAAAAAAAAAAAAAAGGAAGGAAAAAAATTCAGTATATCACTTTAATATTTTATATTATTTACTTTCACTAATTTAGGATTATATTTGCACTTCTTTGTAATTAGATCTATATCAAATATTTATTGAAGATCTTAATAGGATAAATTCATGCTTTATATTTCTCCATGTTGCTGCCGATATTATTTTGCTTTGTCTTATTAGATATATGACTGTTTCCAATATCTATTATTTGGGACTATTCCCCTGGCGACCACTAGATGGCTATGTTATAAATATTTTACATCTCGATCTTCCCTGTTGAAACGCACGATTGAATGGAACGCGGAAGTATGTGTCTACTTCCGGTTCCGGTTTTCGGCTGATATGGAACGCGGGATTTTTTGACTGCAATCAAAACATGAAGAATTCAGCTGGATGTGATTAATCATTTCACCAATGAAGGATGAAACAGAGAAGGACGCCCAGATTACCATCAATTAACTCAGGGGTTAGCCCTATAAAACAGGACTGGTGGGTGGGTGGGATTAGGCTGCATTTTATGTTTTATTATTGTTGTATAACATTTGATTTTAACTTTTGGTCCCTGAGGAAGTTCCACATTGTGAACGAAACGCGTAGGACCTCATTTTAAGCTTATATTATATATCCATTGTTGGGTGATGTTTCATCCTTAATAAAGCCGCTTCATTTATTTTTCTCACAACCCTGGGAGTCCTGTTTTTTCATCTATTTTCCTGGAGCAACTGAAGGAGGATAATAGCCCCCCACTACTATCGGGGGAGGCACCATAGAGCGATATATTTCATCTAATCTTGTGAGTGCATTTCATGAATACTTACTTACTATTTGATACAGATTTACACTATGTATATCTATATTTTTCAATTTTAGATTTCTCAGCCGTATCCCAAATATTTCTGGTTGGTTTATATTTTGCTGTGTAAAGGTCATTCATTCTGGGTAATGACCTGGGAGGCTGTTTCACTTGAATATTAAGATAAGTATATTTTTTCACTTATATGTACTATTCACTAAGTGGTGATATTTGAGTATATATATACTTTTCTTTGTTCTTATCTATTGTATCCAGCCTGAGCTATATGTCTAACACATGGTGCGTTGATTATGCACGTCTGTCTAGCTAGTAAACTGTACACAGGCTATTCGTTAACAAAGAAAGAGAGTTGTATAGCAAGGAGACATGCTAAGCTAGGAATATATGAATGGACATGCTGAACTACACACACTCCTTTCCAGGTTCTGACAGAATTTGTCAAAGATTCTGTTGAGTCTGGTCATAAGGTCTGGTTTATCTTCGGCTGGGTGCTGGTGCCATGTGGCGTACGCCATGGTTTGTGTCTCACTCTATTTCCCTGCTGTGCCAGTGGCCTTGCCCCCTGTGCCCATTAGAGCAGTTTAGCCTTCCTGGGGTAGACCAGGATCACCTCCGCCGGTCCGGGTGGTTTGCCAGATGCTTGCAGGATGATTACGGTCATTGAACGGCTCCGTTTAGGTCAGCCGCCTCCCCCACCCGTTGCGCTCTACACCACATGAGTCTGAATTTGCTGCCGGGCAGCTTCTGTCATGTTTCCAACCTCCACAATGTGCTGCAGTCAGGTCGGATGCAGGTGAGGTCAATTGTGGGCTTGATGAAGCCAAAAATGGCTTGTATTGCCTGCGTAGGAGAGGAGCTCGAGCAAGATGCGACTCTCCACCATGGCAGTCAGGCCCCATCCCCCTTGTATCTATTCAGAGACTTTTTTTTATATTGGACTTAAGCAAAATCTGAGTTACATACAGTGATCTGTTTTAATCATTGAATGTAAGCTATATGATGTCTTTTTAGCATTGCAACAAACAGGATTTAAAATTTAAAGGTATATACCACTCCTGAATTTATATTAGATTGTTTCTATTATCTAATATTTTTCTTTCTTTACTGCACTAATAGGGATTTTTAGTGGAGTCCCTTCCTATTTTTCAGTTGAGGGTTTACCTTTAGCTGTACTATATATTCTAAAATCGAGGTCTATTTTAGATCTTATTTTTTGATTCCTGGTTCCTGGTAGGTTTACCTTTAATTCTACTAGAGCAATGTCAAACTCCTGGGAATTTCATTAAGTGACTTCAATATTTTAGATTTGCAATGCACCCACTTAACCAATTTCTGAATATTTTGTGGCTTAGGGCTGCTTTGATATGTCTTCGTCTTCAAGCATCCATAACATGGGATATGACCAGATTAAAATATGTTAGTTGATACTTACACGTACATTCATTTTCATCTGTGTGGTCATGGATTACAAGGCCTTTCCCTAATTTTTAATCTCCTTAGAATTCTGGTGCCTGATTTATTTCATTTTTTAAAATTTTTTTTACTACTGCTCAGATCCTTTGTGCTTCGCTTTACTTCTCCTCTAAATAAATGTCTAATGCTGGGATTTTCCATGGGAGAAGCAGGAAGGAGGAGATGTCTTCAGGGCTATATGGGATCGGTTCTACATCTCCAGTTGAAGTAATATTGCAGAAGTAATGGAGTTTTATAAACAGTGACATATATATATATATATATATATATATATATATATATATATATATATATATATATATATAAATTTCATTTTTTTCTTGTTAAGATTATATATGCAGTTAGAGATGGATATAAATACACATTGGCATACACAAAATGATCTTGAATAATTGCATAGAGTATCTGTTTAATATCACGTGTATTTTTTTTCTGTTTATTTTTACTTTGAATGCGATGTAATGTTTAAGAAAAAAAACTATCGAAAAACCAAGTGATGAACCTTAATTTTCTATTCACACATGATTTTATATGATATGAAGCAACATCAGAAAATGTATTTCTTATTCTTGCAGGCCACCATTGCACAGAAGCCCAGAGCAACACAGGCAAAGACACTACAGTGATGAAGGATTCCGCAGAGATGCAAGAAGGCCCATACACTGGGAAGAAGATCGTCATGGGCAAAATAATCCAAGAATAGTTCCACATAACCGATTCAATGATAAATTGTATGAACAGAATTTGTTTCCCCCAAAGATAAGAAAATCTCCTTTAGAACCCGCCGATAGACTGAGGAGAATTTATTCCCCAGAAAGGCATGGGGAAAGCAGTAGAAGATTCCCCACAAAGTACCCAGAGGATGCCCCTCATAGAGATAATGATCGTAATCTTAACCATCACAGAAACCAAGGACGGAACTTACATGATGATGCAAATGGTTTTAGGATAGGAAGGAGAGAAGACAGTTTTCATGGACCTCATCGCAGAGAACCTGATTGGGAAAGGGGTGAAAATGGAGATCACTGGAAACAAGAAGGGCACAGAGATCAGCATGCTTTACCATACAGAAGAAACTCTCAAGAACGAGGCATTTTTCCGAAGAGGTATAATAACTAATTTCTTGGGCCTTTACTTATTGATATAAAAAAAATTTTTTCTGGCATGGCCACTAAAAATGGAGACACATTTGCCTGCCAGTTAGCTTGATTTAACTACATTTTATTTTTTATAATCCTGAATCTTATTTAAAGTAGCAATACTGACAAAAGTTTTAGTTTTAATAATAATGGGCGAGATTAATGGTTTGCTGTTTTCATTTACATACAGAAATAAACTAGTTTATGTCAACACAGGTATCCAGAAGATCGTAATTTTAAAGAACCTGGTCAAGGTCCAAAAAGGCTTAGAGAAACAGAGAGACTTGAACATAGACCACTGCCAAGAAATCCCCACTGGAAGCCAGATCATGTGTTCCGGCCATCTGAAGGAAAGGATTGGTCAAAAACCTCAGACTTCAGAAATCCAAGTCCTCTTGTTCACCGTGCAAACTCTGGAGAGTTCACCAAAATAGAATATGACTATAGTCATAAATCTCCTTCTTATGTTGGTATGGATCTACCATTTCCTGATGATTTTGTTGACAAACACAACAGAAATGAAGAAAGAAAACCTGTTCACACCAAAAATTCCCACGATGGCAATATATTGGACAGTCATACTAGAGAAAGGGGAAAATATTCTTCAGAACGACTACTAGACTCCTCTACCAAATACAGCTCTAAGAAGTATCATAATTCAGATCGGGATAATTTAAAAAATGAAATGGAGAGTAAGCACCAAAATTATAAATACAAGGAACGGGGAAGAAACAATAGTGTCCCACATAAGGAGTCAATTCCTCCCACAGACCAACTTGACCAAAGTTCCAATTCTTCTGTATCTAAACCAGCTTTGAATAACACCTCTTCCATGGAAACTATCACGGTTAATTTGAATTTGAAGAAACA